TTCAAACTTGTGTTTCCAATAAAGTTGAGCCAAATGCAAAGGACAAGTTGCGTCCTTGAGGCCATAATCGTCCAGATTCTACCTGGCATTGAGAAGGCAGTTTTGAAGAAAGTTATTGATGATAACGAAGCGGATACAGCTTTCATATTGGACGGATTGGATGAGATTCCATCCCATGTTCTCAATTCTCCGGCCCCGGAAGGTGGCTATGGGGTCAAGGACATCTTGCATAACAAGGTGCTGAGACGCAGTACTGTCTTAGTATCAACTCGGCCACACATGATTGACTTTGCCATCAAGGGATACCCACGTTACACCCACGTTAAAACTTTGGGTTTCACACTCGACACTGCAAAGAAATACATAACATCCTACTTTGCTTCAAAAGGTGACGCCAAAAATGGTGAATTATTAATTTCACATGTGACATCCAGCTCATTGATGCGCACATTGGCCCAGATCCCAATCCTTGTACTCTTCCTGTGCATAATTTGGGATAACCTGTCAAAACTGCCTGATCAATTAACGGCACTTTACACACAGTTTGCTGATGTTCTAGTTAGTCGCTGTTGCAATGAAGGCGAGGATCAGGTGGCACTGATGAAATCAGCCGTTCGTGGACTGGGACCAGTCGCTCTTGCTGGGTTGCTAGACCCCAAGGGGGAAAGGCTCGTTTTCTCCTCAAAAGAATTTGATGAGAAATCCTTGAAGGATGGGTGTCGATTAGGTTTCCTTCAACAAGAAAGTTTCACGAGTGGCTTGCTGAAGATGCAGGTAGTAGCTTTCGTACACAAGTCTATGCAAGAGTACTTCGCAGCATACTACTTTGCCAATTTGCATCACGCAAACAAAAAGGAGTTTCATGAGAGGTTGCAGCAGATTAATCCAGGCAATGTCCGTGCAATGGAATATCTGCTTCGGTTTGCATGCGGCATATCATCGGAGTCTCCGGCTACTTGGATCATCCTGGAGCACGTACAAAAACAACGTATAGAGCGGAAATATCGTGACGAGTTTTTAGTGCTGGAGCACGTTGAAAAACAGCAAAATCTGACGCGCCTGATGTTGATGGAGTCTGGTTGTGGCAAACTGGCTGATAAGCTAGACCAACCAACTGAAGCGGAATGTGATAGTCAGGAGGATGTGTTAGCAATGCGCTATTACTTGCAGTGTCTCTGTCAGCCACTAGTAGAACTTAATAACTTAACTGTCCGCTGCAGATCGCATGAAGAATTGACGTCGATGAGGGGTATTGATAGACTACTGCATGATAACACTACAGTATGCATTAATTTAAGGATCACCTGCAGATTGCTTGAATGTCTGAAGCTGCTGGGGGAGATACTACCGATTGATAACATCAGGTCAATCAGGAGATTTCGGGTGTCTGTCGAGTACAACGTGTCGGATAAACAAGACGAGGAGATGCAAACAGCCGTAGTGGTGGACGATAGGCTTCGTGATCAAATAATGCTTCAAATGCAGATTGATGAGGATTCTCACCTTGGTGAGCGTGTGTTAGGATCCCTGTCTCGTGTATGCAAGCAGATCATTAAGAGAGTCGCACTGTGGGATAGAACGTATGATGACGTCATTAGACTAGTGAATGCACTGGCTGGTTGTGATAGGTTGACAAACGTATGTGTGTCCCATACCAACCTTCACGGCCATCTGGCTTGTGTAGCCCCTCTTGTTCCTCCATCCCTGCTGATGTTGGTATTAGCCTCATGTGGACTGAATGATGATGACATCCCTGACCTGATCAGCATACTCCCTGCCGGGCATGGTTTGGGGCTTCTTGATGTTCGTGACAATGCATTCAGTGTGGTTGGAGTGCAGACTCTAACTGCTCATCTCAGGAATCTGCCTAAAATATACGCGTTATCGCTTAACTTCAAAGGTCACGATGCAGAGCGTGTCAAGCAGCTGGTCAAGGAAAATCTTCCAAATGTCAAATTATTGTAATTAAATGATACAAACAAATAAAATTAAGTTTTTGATTTTCGTACCAGTTACATCACCAACATTGCCAATTGGGCCTTTGGACTATTTCGCTCGAATCTCCAAATTAGTATTGTTGCCTTCATCATTACATGTCGTCATCGTCATTATAGTTCTATGTAAATCACAACATAGGGAAGTATAAAAAGACACAAATTCCGTTAAATACACGATGAGATAGGCGCGGATCCCGGGGTGGGAGGTTGAAACCCCTCCCTGCTCTAACACACAAACAGAAAAATATAACAATTATAGTAATATAATTACAAATACATATATGTCTGCCTATCTGCAACAGTCGGACATAAAAAAAATGTGAAGGGCATGACCCCCCCACCCGCAAATATACCTGGATCCGCCCCTGTTGACAGGTATTGCAAACTAACATTAAGTGAAGTACATCACGTATCAGACATTTTGTTCAGCGGATTTGGCGCAATATTGAGTGTATTGGTGTTAATTACGATGGAACACTAACAAAAAATACCGAGCAAAAAATACCCAAACAAACTTACAGGGGAAAGATAAAATACGTATGTCATCCAAGATTGACTGTAAGCTTAGTAACTTGGTTCATGGTCTGCCACTGTCCTCTTGTACCTTGTTCATATCCCAGGACTTCGTGAATTCACGCCCCTTGCCTTCCACCTCAGCATGTCTACGAACGTAGCTTGGCATTGCAGTGCTTGCTTGCATCTACACAATCGGTACCCGGTTCACATCTTTGCAGTGTGGAATGACTCAGCCTTATAGTGCCACGTACTTCCCTTTCCTTTCATCTTCGCCAGGGTTCAAATCCAACCATGGCTACTTTGTTGTTTTCCTTCGATGCTCGTTTTACTCAATCTTTCTATCCGCTTGACCTCTTCTTGTTTCTTGTCTGTTTCGGCGGGGTTCACATCCAACTAGGGTTTCTTTGAGGCTTAATGACTCTGAATCGTGGCTGTTTGTATTAAATGTATATGTCTGGACATTTGAGGTGGTGGCCGGGTACTCCCATCGCACAACCATTCGGTTCGATTCCCGTCAAGGGCAAATGCCACAGCTGCATCACGTGGTTTCTGCCAAGAACTGTTCTCTCTCATCCCTTTCTTGCTTTTAGACTTGAATTTCCTTCCTCATTTTCTCTCAACTCTAACGAGTCACCTGAGGATTGCCAGAGACAAAACGCTGAACATTCCTGAACACATCCAAGGCAACCACATGAAATACATATCATGAAGATTTCAACATTTGTTGGCTTAGTCCCAAGAATCTGTTCAAAATTCCAGCGTACAGCTCAACAACTCGTCATTTGCATTTTTCAGTCATAACTATAATGACTCACACAGCGCTGTTCTGAGCAAGTGAAACTTTATGACAAATTAATAACATTTTGCGTAAATATCCACTACATGTATTGTGAAACACAATTGTCAGAGGTTAATCTATGCTCCTCCTGAAAGAATAATTAATCAATTGAAACAAGAAGAGTTTTTTTAGGTCTGAATGTGACATGTCATGTGACATGTATGTAAAGAGCTTAATGTGAATGTGTATTTAGTCTGGTATCCTGTTTTATTAAACATCTTCAAGACTTATTTGAAATATGTTTTATTTGTTTACTGTTTATTACCAGTAATACGATGTCAAGATTTGTCAATTCCATTGTCTCGAAGATCAGTTTGACAACTGGCAATGATGGTGACATTCTAAATTATCTCTAGTACATTACATCTTACCACTAGTGCAGTATGGTACTATTTTGCAACATTATTGCGTTTTCAGTTTGTTTTTCATTTTACCTTATTCAGCAGTACACTAATCGCTGGCTGCTACAATGCTGGCTGCTGTGTAAAGTTTGCAATAGACTACAAAAAGAGCGCCCCCATTCCATCACTGGAACTACATGTATATCGCTCCTTCTTTATAGACATTATACACAGCAGCCATCTTGGAGGGCAATGCATTCGTTTTGCTGGGATATGCATGAGTCAACCTTTCGTGCATTCATTGCTACTAGATTACAGAACAAAAGACGCCCTCTAAGATGGCCTCTACGCGTGAGGTCGATTCAAAATATTTCGCAGGTTAGAAACAATCAGGCGTTGAACTACAAGGAGCTGTTTGCAGTTGACCCACCTGCTGAAGTGTCAGGAGAAGATTCGTGGCAAGGATTCCTTGAAGGGCTGACTTCTCATCTCGTCATTCATCTTGCAATTTCTTGCCCGTCCTCCAGGGTCATTTTTTTACTGCGTCAAACCCGCAAATCACGTAGGCGTTTAATCTTTGAAAGTAGGCAGCAAAATGTACTAAATCATATGGGAAAACCTGTAAAAAAATGAATACAAAAAGGGCATGGCATTCTCACCAAATTTCGAAACATTGTTTAAGGATTGTAAACGATATGGATTATGTACACGCGACCTTGCTCGGACGGAAGCATGCAATATAAGCCTGTTATCGTCACCGCTATGTCTTTATTCCGTCATTTATTTTCTCCCTTCGAGTAACTATTTCCCTTATTTTAAATGGGGCCCTTTGTACATAAGTTCAATCTACTCAGTACCCGACCAACCCTGCTTAGGCATCTCTGGTATGCAAATACGTAATATCTTTGCTCGCGCCACCACGGCGTGCGGGAGATTCGAATCAGTTGCCTCCACACTCCCGATCAACTCACAACACGTTTCTGTAGCCAACTATTTGTAAGTATTTCTACTTGAATTTATATCATGTTAATTTCTGAACATTTAATTCACCGTAAGCATTCATCCGTATTCTATACTACTAGTGTCTGGCTCGATAATCATGGATACATGTATTTTAGTTTACGCCGAAATGTCTATCATTCCTTAGAGCCAACGCCCTTATTTTATAGGCCTTCACCCCGGTTCATGGAAATACAAAGTATGTATTCTTATTGGGATACAGTTATAGTAATATTATGGTGTTATTTATATCGTTGATCTATGTATCAATGTGGTATGATTATTTATTTGCTATTTGTACAGCACCCCAGAATGCCACCGTAAACCCCTGTTCACCCAACTGTTTCAACCCGTTACTTCACTGTGTGTGCTGACGATTCCTTACCCCGGGAACGATTGTAAGTTGATAAAATATCAGTTGGTTTCTTTATTTAAATAATTCATTGTATTAATGGAATTGTTGACTCCTCCACTACCGATGATATTGTCGATAAGGTGCTGCCCATTCGTAATTGGTCTGGTGTTCTCCTCAATCTATCGATATAATTGTTTCATCGTGTATTTTGGTGCTTATATGATTGTATTATTTAAAATGAATGATAGTATTTGCTTTCGGCTTAAATTTCAACCTTTATTAGCGAATACATCCATCTTGATGTGCAAATACATCCAGAGGTGCTAACAGTGACACGGCCTAATACCTAAAGGACCATAATTACAAAACGCTTTCTTGGCTCCAATTTGACATACGAACTTAGTTTGAATATTCCTACTAGCATGGCATAGGGCAAACATCGGTCATTGCACTTCCAGGACCAACAGAGCCTTCCTTGTAATAAGATGAGAACAATAACTGGTACTATTAGGGTTAGGCCTAAGACAGAGCTCACGGATGCGTTGATCTGAGGGAAAATTCAAACAATATTCCTCCCTCAAGCCTCCCCTATCATTGATGGTCAACCACTACACTCCCCCTTTCCCTTCAAGTCTTTGAATCGTCTAAACAAATGCATAATTAGTATTTTACTCCCCCTCCCCTCCCCAATACCTACAGATTGTATGAGCGAGCATCGCGTTTAATTCTATTTGATAGTTTTTATTGACATTTACCGGTAAGCAAACTATAGGTCTTTTCAAATACATCAAAGGCGTCATCGACAACAAGCTCTTGATAACGATAGACTTCGCTCCTTGGTCTGCGCATACTTTAGAGCAATGAACTCCAAATAAGTCGAATAATCATGAAAATCTCTCCCCGGGTCAAAGGGACTAAGATAACAAAAATGCCGTCTGTCTTACATAAAGATAGACATAGTTTTATTTATTTTTTTATTGACTTTCGTGAGCAAACAAATCTAAACTTAGTTATTTGAAAGAGGCCTACTCTACAGGCGTTATCGACACCTAGCTGCTGATCGGGCTGAAATCGGCCAGCGTTTTTTTACTTTAATAAACAATATTGATTGTATATTAGTGAGTAAATCTTCTTGTTTGTGAGGATCTTCGTGGAATGCAATGTACCCCTACCAATAATATACTAGACTTTGTTGAAATCCGTAATGATTTAAATCACACGGATTGTCATTTTGGATGTAAAAACTGATACATGTATAATGTAGAGATTACGCAACAAAGGGAAATGATGGTTATACGCCAGGATGCTCAAGAAATTTGAGCAAAAAAATCGGAAGGTGTACTTGAAATATAAATATTTGGATTGGTTAGAATGCGGTTAGAATGTGGTGTAACTTTAGGAACGCACTGTTCAGCTTAGGACGCTTCTCTATATACAAATTGTAAATTAAGAATTATTGGCAAAGCAGGAAAAACGTAGAGACATCAAAAGAGCCCTAAAAATAAAGTTAAATGGAACATATAATTACATTTTAATGATTAAATAAACATTTCCATTTCAAGGTCTTTCATGTTAACTCGGAATAATAATGACAGGGGGGGGGGGAATGTTTGCCCTAAACAGCCGATAGCAATACCGTACTCAATATCAATATCCAGGAAGTAAACAACTAAAGGAGACACAAACTGGGTGAACCATAATGCACTGCTGAACTTTATTTCTACCTGTTAATATTAACTTCATAATGATAGGTTCGGTAAGCATGACAAGTGCCAATATCAATACGCGTACATGCAATACGCCATATGATTTGCGAACTATTTTTGATCGGACAAATAGTCCCGTCAAACATCAGGTGACGTTTCTGGCATTACGCGATCATTCCACACAGTAGAGCCGAAGTCATAACTCAGGCCCTACTAACAGTCACCCAACGACAACGCTATATTTGAAAACTAAACCTTATTCTTTGATGATTATCGGTGGATTTGTGTCTGAATTTGCACCCAGAACCCAGTGAACCGACCCGTCCATCGTGAGGATATAGCTGTTTGCAACCAGCTCGCCGGGGATCGGGGCATGAGGTAGGAAAAAGTTAGTTAAAAAAGTTACTGCAAACCGAAACGATACCGATACCCCACCATGCAAAGCCTAAAATCATATAACTGAAAAATCTATTTCCAAAATAATGATTACCATTACGATATACTGGCACAAGTTTTTCCTGAATCTATCCCATCTTCACAAACATGTGATATCACTGTTAGGCCAGTGGATGAGTGCTAGGCCCCGCCCATTCCGCCTTACAACCGAATTTAGATCGTGAATGTTATTTGCGTAACGAAACAAAGGGAAATAAATAATTTGCAAGTGAACACTTACGAAATAACACATACATCCTTTTCACAGCCTCCCCTTCCCCCACCCCCGGGGCATTGCTTGGGGTTGAGGGTGAGGTGTTACCACCCACCAATAACTTGGCTTTGTCGGTAAAATCAAGGTCGGCAAAAACAATGTGTTAGCAGGCCTCAATGAATAATAATGCCCCTATCCATTGGCTTCTGATTGAAGAGCATCCATTACTTAAAAGATGCCCAGCCCCCCCCCCCACCCAACTAGGCCCCGCCCCTACCCTTGCCACCAAATTCAGATTTGGATTGCTACATGCATTTGCCTGAATTGGAATTGTAAACAGATATCCATTTGCAAGTGAACCTTTTACAATCTACACGAACCGCCGCCTCAGCTATCCCCCTTCCCCTGTCACCCCTCTCCCAATGCTCATCACAGCACCCCCCCCCCCTTTCCCCAAGAAGTCAACTAGTACATATACATGGCCTTTACAACAAGGGGCAGCTTGGAATATCCGAAAAGTGCGGAGGAGAAGGGGTGTGTATGTTGCTGGGGTGGGTAGGGGTTGGGGGGGGGTGGGGAGGGTGATCCGGACAAACGCATACATGTATACATGTACACTGTACATAATATTGCAAGTTACTTTTTGAATTACATTGAATGTGTGGTGAACAAAATGATGTTTATTATATATTTTTAAAACGAAAAAGATCAGGCGATTTAGAGAGCAAATTATTCTTATTTGTATATATTGAAATACTTTAAAACAAGTATCACTCCAGTGAAAACTCCGAGAGAAAACAGCATCAATTTGATTGAATGTATTTCACTCTGACTTGACTTGTTTCTATACATGTAGTTAGGGTCTGGAGTACATTTTAAGTTGAAGTGTCCTCTAAATTTGTATTTGCCTGATCAACATCAACTGATCATCACTTTGTGACTTTTCATACTTTCAACAGTGGTCACAATGGCACTAAACGCACTTCTTTATTGTGTTCATTATTACCATGGCAACCGATGTAAAAACATCGGTGGTCATAAACTTTAAAATTCAAAGATATTTCCATTTTCAAAACCTATCAAGTATTAACTTCAGACTAAAATGCATGGCTACATAATTAATAACAATGCATGCTCAATATGTAACGTGTCCGCCATTGCTGCGAGAAGCTCGTGTAATTTTCACCTTTCAACCTGTACCATTTTTTTTTTTTTTTTTTTGATGAACTTTTTTTCTGATAGTTTTTACATGAATCAATTGCAGGGCATTAAGTGCAGTGCATCACCATTATCATGTATATTTACTTAAGTTTTGCCAATTCGGATTGAAAACCAACCAATTTTTTTGAAAAAAAATCAGTAGGTAGATAGTCCCTATGGCGGTGACAATGGATACATACAATTACCTGACTGGGATGAATATGTAGACCAGTATTGTTTGTATACAAAATAAAACCATTTTCACATAAATGCAGAAATTATGCCAAAAATGTTTATACAGGAGTTTGGAAAGAATATAAAACAATCACCTCTACTTGTAGCAGCAATAGAACCAAAAATGTCATTTTATATAGAAATGTTCAACCAATACATCCCTACCAAATCAGTTGTAGGAAAATCGGTCAAAGCATATGGAAATCAAAGTGGGCATCACAATGTGCTGTACCTCTCCCTTTCAGAAAAAAACCCAAAAAACTCGTCTGATAGGGTTAACATCTGTACGCACTTGGTTATATTAGGTGGGAGAGTTGACATTTTTTTTAAATTAACACATTAACAAAACATTCCCACGTTTGTATACCAAACACCCCTTTACAATCGCTTGCCATGCAACAATACACACCACAGAAGGGCAGCCATGTTGACTACTGATGACAGTTTGGAAAAGACTCAAAATGTCATGCTGATTACGAAATTACGAATTTGGAGGGCATAGCAGCACCCACAACGGTACTATATTTGACTTAATATGTACTTGATCTGACCGTAACTACATGTTGGGCCAAGACAATTCAATCAATAAAATAGAAGCCGTTTTCAGTTTTCCCTGGAGCAGGCGCGGTTCTAGAACCAATATTTTGTATTTTTTTTTTTTTTTTTTTTTTATTGGGGGGGGGGGGGGCTAGCACGGTGGATCAAGAATTTGTTTCAGGGAGGTGTGCTGAAATGTTTACCGGTTATTTTTTTCCCAGACACTTAGGCCTCCGAAAATCAATAGGTGGGGGGGGGGGGGGGGCTCATACCATATTTTCATTGGGAGCGCCAATAAAATCCTAAAATCATTCACACTATATTAATTAATTCACCCTTGTCACTGCTATTTCTTCTTTAGGGGGAGACCGTTCGCATGTACAACACAATCATTCTTTTTGCTAATGCAATTTTTTTTACGGAATTTATTTTGGGGGGGCTAGACAAAATTGTGTATCCATATTACCCCCGCCCCGCCCCCCCCCCCCCCCCCCCCCCCCCCCCCCACACACACACACTGCTTACTGCTTACTGCTTACTGCTTACTGGTCCCGTAACCCGACGAGGTCGTAGGGGCGCTGCATGGATGAGCGTTGGATCAACTGGTTCCACCTCTGACGGTCGTGAGCAAGTGCCTGTGTTGTGGCAAAGCTTTCCCTGGTCCATTCGGCGATGTTGTCTGTCCACTTTTTCCTCTGTCTGCCCCGTCTCCTCCTTCTCTGCACTGTACCTTGGAGGATGGTCTTTGACAGTCCGCTTGCTCTCGTAACATGTCAGTACCACCTCAATTTCCTTTTCTTCACCGTGGTCAGACACATACACACTTTTTCCAGATATTCCAAACCACTCCCATGTTGTATAAAACAAGTATTTCGCTTTTTAAGGTTTTTGTAAAAACAAAAAATACCATATTTGGAGCGCTACTGCACAAAGGATATACAATAATCCAAAATTTTCTCACCAGATTTTTAAAAACCAAATATGTCTGAACTAACAATAGCCAAAATGAAATTATTCTGAGTGCACTGGCAAGTGGCATTTTGGAGGGTTAAAATGGGGTAACAAAATCTAATTTTGCTATTAGTAAAAAGAAATTATAATTATTGTAGGGCCTAAAAGAAATATAAAGTTTCAAAAGTGTTTCTATTATTTTTTTTATGTAAGAGTAAGGATGACACTGCGTCCTTATATAGTTACCTTTGTGCTATTACTTCGCATTTGGGCTTGATGACCTTAGAAATTAACCCAAAAATGAATTTTTGAAGCTTCAAAATTGCCCCGAAATGGCAAAAATGCATAAAGGCCCGTCACCATGGCAACAGGTTTAAAAAGTCTCAAGTTTCAAAAGAATTTTTAAAAAAATGATAATTTTTTTTGAGCGTGGACACTTATTATGAAGTATTTACACGAATTGACTCTTACGTGACGTGGGGTATATACGAGTGTTCAATTTCTGTTGAACGCGGTGGGGTTGCCTACGCGGGCCCGGCGCAACGGGCCTGCTGTACGAAGCACCCTTGCAGGACTCCTATGATATTGCGTTCCAATGGACTTTCATACCAGTGTCAACAACACTTCGCAGACAAACTTAGCTTTGATTCAACTCATTGACATAGTAGAAGTAGGGATCCGAGACCTGCTTCATGCTAACCTACTTGTGGTTAATAATTCACAACTTTGACCTGTAAGATAACCTCAGCTACTAATGCATACAATGGTGGTATGGGCTACGAATGCAAGTATAGGTGGCAATAGGAATTGTTTGTTCTGAAGGCCTGTTTTTGAAAAAACAATACATGTATGAAGAAAATTATTGTCAGCCTTGACGACCCCGCCCCCTCCCCCAGGTCACACTGCGGGGCCGAGGTGGGGGTGTGTGTGGGGGGGGGGGGGGGGTGCTGGAATTTACTACCTTACGGAGACATGAACACAATAGGGAACAAAAGATTGTAGACGTCTCCAGAAGAACATTTCTATAGATGAATACGTCTCCACAAGAATTTCATGAAATAGGTATATGGATTTTACTCAAAAACTAGGAATTTTCAAGGTAGGTTGATTTGTCGCAAATGGAAGAGTTTTACAAAAGGGATATTTAGTCCAAATTTCAGCCCAGGAAATTAATTCTGGTTAAGATAAGAGCATTTTGAAACTTCAATTTCAAACTCGAAAACTTTACTACACGAGAACAAAGAAATGTCTCCACAGGAATACAAATTCCAGAATGGGGGGTGGGGTGGGTGTGTGTGTGGGTGTGTGTCTGTGTCTGTGTGCTCTTGTATTGTATTACGCTCGAGGACAGACAACAAAAGGAGCACAAAGGAGCCTTTGACCCCTGGACGACGCTGCCTATTGTTAAAACCGTTCCTCGATCGTACGGTTATGTGCTTAGTCTATGGGAAAGTGTTATATTAGAGGGACACAGGAAAACACAATAGTTGTCCTCAGGCGTATAGTAAAAAAAGACGGTGTGTGGGTGAGTTTGTGTTACATACCCGATGTGGACTTGTGAACAAAAGAGGTCCACATAATGCAGGTTGTGTTAACCTTATGTGGACTAAGCCGTGTCCACATAAGGTTTTGCCCTTTCTGGAAAACAGGTTTAGAGGCATTTTTGGCTAAGGTTTATCTGTAGCAGAATGAAGAGAAACACTATAGGGAATCATAGAAAAAAAATGGGTTAACAGAGTTTTTACAGTTTAAGTAAAGTTATTTTTTGTACCGAGTTTTCTTAACTACACGAAAACAAAGCAATGTCCACACAAGGTATGTAACGTAAGTCTGGGTGTGTGGGTGTGTGTGTGGATGGGTTTACGCTTGCTGTCTACGACAGTTTCGCTTCTGCCGCTCGAACAATTCTTTCTGACAGATCCATCCATTGTTCCTTTGTGAGTTGTCTCAAGTTCTCAAACTCTGCCCTGTTGTGCAGTCGCCGCTTGATTGTCTGCAGGTCTTTATCCAGAACGATTGGTAGTGGTGAACGGGGTCGTCCTCGCCAGCCTTCTGTGCCTGCTTCCTTGGTGAAGTAATCGTCGATAAACTTCTGCACAGGTACATCCCTCGGAAGCCACAGGATATGGCCAAAGAGTCGCCAGTGGGCTGTAATGACACGGATGTTTAGCGGTTGACACTTGCATCGTTGATAGAGGGCATTGTTTGAGATTCGATGTCCGTATTCCAATGAGTTGTCGTAGCTGGTTTCGGTGGATTGAGTCCTGTTGTTCTGTTTGTGATTGTGTGAGGCCCCATGGGCCCATGTTGTAAAGGAGCACAGGGAGCACAAAAGTGTTGTAGAGGCGGAGACGAAGTTCCTCGCTCGCATGGAGGCGCCGTAGCCACAACGCTTTCATGCGGTGGAATGCTACAGTGGCTAGTTGCTTGCGACGAGCGACATCTTCACCATCTTCCAACAGAGACCCGAGCTTTTTTGTCATGCACCATAGTTCGCCTTCTTGATCTGCCAGACGCTTGACCGATTTTCGTTCTGTTTTGGTCAGGTTAACGGTGAGGAACCACTCGAGCAGACTTGCTGGCGCAATTTGTTCCACAGTGTCAAGGAGTTCTCTGGAGTTACTGATGAAATTGACAACATCAGCATATGCCGCTTCAACAGGAACACCTCTGCCCCTGTTATGTTGGATTTCTAGTTTTTGACGAAGGTCACGAAGGGCTGCCTCAAGATATACCACGAACAATACTGGGGTGGGCTGTCTCCCTGGGGTGTGCCAATAGTTGTTTGAAATGGATCACAGGAACCCCTCTGGAGGCGAGGTTCAAGTGATGTCTCAGCTAGAAGTAGTCGAATAATGCGAGGTTGCAATAGATAAACGTCACAACGATGCAATTTCATTGTTGACATTAAAAACACCCTAACAAGTTTGAAAGATTGGAACGATGCTTCTTAGGCCACCCAATCTCCTTTCCTAAAAACGCTGATACGTTCCTGAAATAACTACCGATAATCATCCTTATTCGTGTGCCATAAGTACGCACTTCATACCCGAAACACAAGTTGTGTCATCTATGAATCCGACGTCACTGTAACGGCATTAAAGTTTATGCACTTTAAATTGCTGCTATAGTTCGGTTTGCGGTAACACCATGTAGTAATAATTTATGTTGCTTAGAATATTTATTTCTGATAAGAACAGTCCGGCTTAGTTCTACAAAGAACTTGTCCTGCTTATTATCAACTTACGCTAAGCAGTTTGGAAGGCGATGGGACTTCTTGCAATTATCTTCACTGAAGCTGAGTGTCAACAACACTTAGCAGACAAACTTAATTTTGATCCAACTCACTTACATCAGTAGGGATCTGCAACCTGACTCATGCTTACTAATAATCAGGCCCGCAACCCGAAACTTTAACGACACTCTACCATGCAAAGCTTAATATCCTATCAATTTTATTACATAAATTATATTATACAAGCACTCTTGAAAGTCCTGCTTCAGAAACAGGACTCTGTCGTTTGGATTAAAAACCGTCTAAGTTTAAAACTGACCTTTTGATCCTTGGTGGAATCTGACCAGACACGTTTAAGAGTTTTGGGTGTATATGATGGGCGGGATCAAATTATTATCAATTAAACTATTTTTGTGACGTCACACTATTATTAAAAGTGTAGATTGTTTTAACAACTGTGGATTCGTAACGAATCTACAGCAAACTGTATATTCGTAGCGAACCACAGATACCTTGGACGGCACTGAGGTAAAAGGGATAATGTTGCGAATTAGTACCATACTGATATTGTGCTCTACCCGATGTTGCCCAAAAAACCTTTCTTCCCCAATGCCTATGTTCCCAAAATCCTTAGGGTTAGGGTTAGGGTTAGGGTTAATGATGGTTAGGGTTAGGGTTATGGGAACATATATATTTTGGAACATATGTATACACCCCGGTACTTTGGTAAGATTTAGTAATCACTATTTAAGAGATTGTTAAACAAAATGCATCAAAATGGACAATAATGCGGATAGTGGGGTGATGCATGGGACTCATTCGTATAAACCTTTGTTGTTTTGAAATAAAATAGTTTAAGTCAGTAAAAAGAATTGGGGAATAGACTGTGGATTTGTGTGAGACTTACACGAATCTACAGTTCCTCGTGCATCCTCTATGAGTGAATATGGATGGACATTCCACATATATAACACTAGCAAAATTCCTGCAACGATACCCGCTGTAACTTGGACACGGCTAACCCTCACGATGACGTTTACATCACACACGGTCAATGCGACACAAACTAGACGCTTCAGAATATACCACATTGACAATTGGTTACTAATGACTATGGAATTAAATAGAAACATCATCGATTAATCTCATCAGGTGTGCCTTTGTACTGTTTTTATTTCCTAGATGATGACTACTAGGTCAGGTCCAAGAACCAATGATGGGGAATTTACAAGGACGTCACAAAAAATCAAAGAAGCCCACTGGCACTCAGCCTGCTGATGATGCTGGTACTTCCATCAGGCCGTCTACAAGACAGATCCCCCAAACATCTGGAGTTACATCAAGGGAGGAGGTTGGCACTCAGCCTGCTGATGATGCTGGTGCTTCCACCAGGCCGTCTACAAGTCCGATCCCCCAAACATCTGGAGTTACATCAAGGGAGGAGGTTGGCACTCAGCCTGCTGATGATGCTGGTACTTCCACCAGGCCGTCTACGAGTCAGATCCCCGAAACATCTGGAGTTACATCAAGGGAGGAGGTTGGCACTCAGCCTGCTGATGATGCTGGTACTTCCACCAGGCCGTCTACGAGTCAGATCCCCGAAACATCTGGAGTTACATCAAGGGAGGAGGTTGGCACTCAGCCTGCTGATGATGCTGGTACTTCCACCAGGCCGTCTACGAGTCAGATCCCCCAAACATCTGGAGTTACATCAAGGGAGGAGGTTGGCACTCAGCCTACTGATGATGCTGGTACTTCCACCAGGCCGTCTAGGAGTCAGATCCCCGAAACATCTGGAGTTACATCAAGGGAGGAGGTTGGCACTCAGCCTACTGATGATGCTGGTACTTCAACAAGGCCGTCTACAAGTTGTACGTAATAGTCGTTATTCTTCACTCTTCTCATAAAGTAAATTTTCTGTCATCTTTAATTTCACAATCGTGAAATTCCTTGGATCCCAAATCAACGCTTTTCCGGGTAAACTTAGTCACGTTTTTTGATTTACAACTTTGCAGCTAATGAAAAGGTCACGCACAAGTTAAATAAGATAAGTCATCAAGTGATTTGATTTCCTTTCATTTAGTTATTGTTATGAGTTTTAAACGAATAAAGAAAAATAATTCAGAGCCACGAATCTGACAAAGAAACATTGGTTTGTGACCGAAAAGAGAATCTGACTGAAGAAACAGAATAGTTAATAAGGCCAAAAAAAAGGCTCCGGTTTCTGTATGCGCGCGCGTCGCCGTAGCCATGCGCGTCGGCAAAATGATTTTTTTTTTCAATACAAGATGATGTTTCAAAACCGCCAAACTCACTGGTTTGACTGGAATTCTGCTGCTGCACAATTTTAACGTGTTTTTAGAAGGGGTTATGACCGAGAATAAGATTTATGTAGCCTCTCTGGACTCCCATGTATTTGCACTAAGTTTAGTCGGGCACCATTTGCAGTCATCAGCCGACATTTGAAGCCCCCCCCCAAAAAAAAAAAAAAAAAAAACAGGTAAAAAGAAAAAAAAAAGCCGCGTCGCCGCACCACTTTTGGGGCAAGCTCCATACCAGAAACCGGAGACTTTTTTTTTGGTCTAAGGCGAAACAAATTTGTTTCATTTAATGTTGATCTTCTGCTTCCAAATACTGTGAAGTCATCAAAACGGTGTTAGGTGTTATTTATACATACACTTATACTTACCGTAATGACATGGGTTATTTTTACTTAATGATAAGCAGGTTTCCTCTCCGAATTAAATTTGTATTTCTTCCCTGTTTTGACTGATGACGTCAACAAATCGGAAATAAAATATACGTATACTGAAATTGATCATATCCAATAGATGATATTTTTTTAAAACAAAATAAATGGTTGCACTGAAATAGCAAACTTTTGTGATTTTTATCCCCCGCGACGAAGCCGAATGGGCATACTGTTTCCGCCTTGTCCCTGGGTGGGTGTGTGTGTGGGTGTGTGTGTGTGGGTGAGCTTGTCTTACATACGCAGTGTGGACTTCCGAACAAAAGACGTCCACATAATGTAGGTAGCACCGACGTTGTGTGGACTTGCCCACGTCCACACAGTGTTTCCCCATTTCTGGAAAACAGGTTTAGAGGCATTTTTGGGTTAGGTTTATCTGTAGCAGAATGAAGAGAAACACTAAAGGGAATCATAGAAAAAAAATTGGGTTGAAAGAGTTTTCACAGTTTGAGAAAAATGAGTTTTTTCACTGGTTTTTCTTAACTACACGAAAGCAATGGAAAGTCCACACTAGTCATGTGAAACAAGTATCTATGTGTGTGTGTGTGTGTCCGGACAAATCTTGTCAGCGCGATAACTTGAGAAATACTTAACATATGAACTTCGAATTTGGTTTGTGTATTGTTCTTGGTAATCCTAAGAAACCTATTGCATTTGGGGCTGAGAGGTCAAGGGTCAAGGTCACAGTGACTGAAACAATAGACATTTTGTCAGCTCGATAACTTGAGAAATACTTTACATATGAACTTCAAATTTGGTTTGTGGATTGTCCTTGGCAATCCTACGAAGCCTTTTGCATTTGCGGCCAAAATGTCAATGGTCAAGGTCACAGTGGCTAAAACAACAGAAATTTTGTCATTACGATAACTTGAGAAATACTTTACATGTGAACTTCAAATTTGGTTAGTGGATCGTTCTTGGTAATCCAAATAGGCCTTTAGAAGAAGACACTAATGCTGTCAATGAACGATCCATCAGACCAAGGTACATGTAAGTTGATGTTGAAAGAGTCGTGTTATGTTATGGAAACAGTCACGGTTGCGGAGCATTTGTGTTTGTAAACACACCTGACTTGTTTTTTTCTGTTCTGACAAATATATTCACAACTTAACCATTCGCTCGTACCCCTGCCCTGCAAATAGGGTGCTAGGATACTCTGATGAGCTTCACAGAATCTTGTGGAGGAAATGGCATATGACCTATGTATAAAGCATCTGGCTGCAGCTGTTCAAGGTCGCAGAAAGACAATATGCACATATGCTATCCGAAATGTTCAATAACAAATGCGCGCATTTCATACCGGATGTGATTTCTGTTTCATTGCGGACCATGTGGGCAAAATTTTGAGCATCGCACAATGCAATCCGACCGTTTGTCATTCGAAATGGAGCCTGAGCAAGTGACGGGAATTTTTTTTAATCTACAACACTGATAAGATATTCATAATTTCCAACATTATTACGCTTTCCATCAAAAATAAAACAGCTCTAAACTGGAATAAAAGAGTAATGAATCAGTCGTTTATCGGCCATTTCAAACCTTGCAGAGTCATGACCGTGATGACCGCCGGCCACACGTCACGCAAAATCCAACCAATCAGAGCGTGAATTCATCAGAGTATCCCAGCGTCCTGTTTGCAGGGCGGAGGGTACGAGCGAAAACTTAACCAGATCTGTGCAATGTGTAATGAAATAATTGTCTGCCTGACCACTTTGCGATTGTATCTAAATAAACGATACTTATACGGGTGTGTTTATTATGTTGACATCTACAATTCACTCTCACCTTCAAGAAATGTTTTAAATAACCACTATTGAATTGAATTCAATTAAACCGAATTGATATGAATGATATTTTTAAACTCTGGCAGCGCAGGAACTTCTACATGTCACTTTGTGGTCGGTCTGTTAGTCGATCTGTTTGTCTGTCCCCAAAAATACCAAAAGTATTTTGCCAAAACATGGTGAGTAAATGCGCTCTTTACGAAAATGTTTGATAACGGATATATATTGATATTGATGCGCATGCGCGTTTATTTGGCATACGTGTGTCCAAAAAGAATGCCAAAAAATATTTCCCCTATTAAAGTTTCCCAAAAATTATAACTTCCAAATTGAAATAATAAAATGCAAACAGAATACATGCATTTGTAACAATTCTGACAATGTTGGTAAATGGAGGCAAAATATGTTGCCTTAAAATTATAGTCGCGTAGTATTTTGTGTAGCCGTTGGACGGTATCCACAAGGAGGAAATATAATGTCCCCTAAATTATACTAAAGTATGGCGTCGCATTTTTCGCTAGAGCTTATTGTCCACAGGCAATTGTTATTCTTGCTTTTGATTGTAGGTTACACACAAAGAAGTGGGGCCAGCGTAGGAAACACCGGCACAATCAGCGGTAGCCACAACCCTATCATTGTTGGTTCAAGTGGAGTTGAATTCACGTACCAATTGCCGTCGGAAGTACAAGGTAAATAAAGGCCTAATCTTGTTGGATGAACGAGTGTTAATGTATCTAGAGGGGAAGGTGTAGGGGGATGGTGGTATAAACATTGAAGAATTTCCAGCTCTGAGAGTCACCAATTTTCTTCAGTACAACTGTAAGCCACAGCATTCGCTCATACCCAAGCCCTGCAAACAGGGCGCTGGGATACTCTGATGAGCTTTACAGAATCTTGTGAAGGAAGTGGCCTATGACCTATGTCATCTTGCTGCAGTTGTTCAAGACCGCAGTTAGACAATGTGCGCAAATGATTTCCGAAATCGTCCCATAGAAATGCGCGCATTCCATACCGGATGTGATTTCTGCTTCATTGCAGACCATGTGGACACATTTTTTTGCAATCCGACCGTTCGTGATTCGAAACGAAGCCCGAGCAAGTGACGGGAATTGTAAATCTACCACACAGATAAGTTACAGAATATCCTACACTATGACGCTTTTCAACAAAAATAAAACATCTCTAAACTGGAATAAGAGTTATGAGTCAGTCTTAACGGCCGTTTCAAACCTTTCAGAGTCATGACCTTGATGAAGCGCAGGTCACTGGTCACGCAAAATCCAACCAATCAGAACGTGAATTCATCAGAGTATCCCAGCGTCCTGTTTGCAGGGCGAGGTGTGGGTACGAGCGAAGCCACTGCATTGCAGTATATGGTGGACAATATGGGGGCGCTGTTTGTAGTGGTTACATTTCTTGTAATTTGTTCCTCTATGTGGTGTAGACCTATAAAAAGGCCCAACATTGCTTACAAAGGCCAAATCACAGTTTCTATGCCCTCAATTGTTGTTATTAGAGCATTTTGTGGGCAATGAACTTGAGGGTGTGTAGACAATATTAGTGTGTGCCGTACACAGAACTGCGAGCTCGTACTTCTGTGAAATTCGGATCATTTCAGTGGGTCCTACAATTGCTCTATTTTGCAATGAAGCGCAGGCATCGTTTTTCAAATTGGCGATAGGCCGCATGACTACTTTTAGGGGTGATCATCTTTGGATGATATATTCTCCCTAAAGTTATTGGATTACCACTCAAAATGTTACCCTTATTTCCGGTGTTAACGGAAGTGTTACCATTCTATAAAAAAATACTTGCTTGCGGGGTAGGGTTCTTCTTGATCGGGAGCTTCAATACGGGCCCAT